ATCTGCTAAAATGCAATATGTAAATCTTTGGATTTTTAGCACACGCTATTTTTTAAGAAGTCTTTAACAATTTTTATAGGTTATTTAACTGACTTTCAGAGAAATCACTTCGAATTTTACTTTGAATCTATGTTTTGGGTCTGTGTGTACAGAATACCCCTCTTCTCTGATCCAGAATACAGTCAGAAATTATTTAGGGGTCAAATAGCCTGTTTTGATCTCAGTCCTATTTGTCTGTAGTGGTAAACTTCAATAGGAGTTTCTAAGAGAAAATAAAACTCTGAACACTTGTGGTTGAACTCCGTTGCAAATAGTTGTATTAAATATTTCAAGAAAAATGTATTGTCTGTCTTTTTTTTTACAAAATGATGTTATTACTATTTTGATTTAAATCAGTAATACATACTTACACATCAGTCAAGTAAAAATTACACTGCACAAATTTCATGTAAGACAACAGATAGCAAGAGCGTCTGCTATCTGTAGCTCTGAAATATATCCTGCATACTAATACAATCTATTCCGTATACTTAGATTTCAGAAGACTTCCTAAGAAAATGACCAGTGAGTCATAATTTACACTTCTCCTTTGTTGCCATCTATCAACTAGAAGGTTTCTTCTGAATATTTATGATGTGCAACTTCTAAGCTAATACTTCTCTTAATTTGCTTTTAAACAAAAAACTACCTTGCACTTTATAGTTCCTTAGCAACCTTTTACTCTTTTTTAACTTGCAGTCCTGCACGTATATACTGTAAACTTTTCAGGCTCAGAACAACACCTTTAATATTTTTCATTTAAGTTCTCTTAAAAAAATGAGGATTAAAAACTTACAGCTGATCAAGGAGTAACAGATGTAGAGAACAACTCATAGAACATGCATGTCTTGGAGCTTGTCTATGTTACCACATGCAGAGCTGCCTCTTTACCATGGAACTGACTCCAGATTAACACTCCCAGCATCTCGGGAGCCTGAGCTCACTCAGCACCACGCTAACACAACTTCGCAGCTTCTGGAGCAAGGCTGAAGAGGGTACATGCTCGTCTGTAGCTGATGTTACGACCGCAGAGGTCTCAAGAATATATTAGCCAGTTTTGGGGTAACAGCTCTTCACAACTTAATTACCTTATAGCCCTTATTTCACCTTCTATTATAGCTCTTATTTTGTCCTTTGGTTGTCTTTAACATCATACACGCTTCTCTGTCATTTCTTCCATTATCCCCTCTACCCTCTGAACTCTTCTGTTTTTCCTGTTTCCTTTCTACATTCCCAGTACTGCTTTTATTACCAACACAGAGACCTTTACTTACAGTAGTGTTCTTTAATTTTTTTCTCATATGTTACTGAAACCACTCAGTCTATATCTCTCAAACTCTTATTTACATTTCAGCTAGTTCTGAATGCAGCTATATTGCTAAGTCTAATAGACTGGCTTCCATCATTTTAAGTGGTTGGCTGTTTTTTAGGTCTCATGTTGATTTGACTTCCTTCAAACCCACTAATCATTTTTGCAAAATATTTACCCAGTAGAAGTTCCTTGCTGAACCTCACCGCTGTCTGCATCTTTGGTGATACTTAACCAGTTTCCTTTTGTTAGCTCTTTGTTGGCTTGCCCAGGCAATCTGTCTGTCCTGCAGGTACTTCATCTATCTTTGATTTATCCTTCATTATTTCTGAGAGTAACCATTTCCTGAAGTTTACTTACCAACCTAAATTAATCTATGACTTCATGAAAAAGATTGCTTTTATCCTTATTGAAAATACCATCTTTAAAAAACAACTTCTTAGATCAGAAGTAGATGTGATAGATTTCTATCCAGTGTGCACTGAGAGTAGAATGCAGAGGGACTGGTGTTCTTAAATTAATTGATGAGAAATGGTTTATTGTAAACAAATAGTTGTAAATAAAATATATTTCTTATGAATTAATTTTAAAAACATAAGGCTGTGTTGTCTCTGGAAATTATTATATGGAAATTGTCAGTAAAATAATTTGGTCCACTCATCCCATCTATGTAAGTGTTCGTAATGCTTTTCTAATTTTTCTGAGCTTCTGATTTTTGTGGGTTTTTTTTTTTTTTTGAGCCTGTGATCACTGTCATCTCCACTAGATGGACCTCATGAGATGTTAAACTTTTTCTTTACTGGTCTAATTGAATTTTATCTGTCTATTAAACAGTATTTTTCTCTTAACTGTACAAGGTTTTAAAAAGTGCAGTGCAAGGCCCAAATTCTTTTCTTACAGTGAGTGCATATTGGAAAAATAATACAACTGCTATGTTTAGTGAGAACTCATGATAAAATACAAGTATGAGATTTTACTGTCCACCTATCGGTCTTTATCCCACCCCATTAACTTCTAAAAACGTTGAGCAGGTACAATAAAATTTAACTAATGTAAAACGGTGAAGCATATCGCAAGGGAGTATTCACAAGGCAAAGTTCAGCATAGGGACATTGCGGTTTTTTGGGTTGTTTTCAGTTTGTGGATGGGAAACCCCAGAGGTCATTCAAAGCAGACACCTGAATGAAGCGGTAGAGGAATTGCGCGCTGCAGGCCTGTCTCCTTTTTCCATTGGGAAGAAGCGGCACAAGGCGAATAGCCTCCCCAGGCTAAACACGCCTTCAGTGGATGCCATCCTAAGTTCCAACAGTAACCGCGCACAATAGACGGCCCAGTGAATGCACGCAATCCTCAAACAACTTGACAGACTTGTCCACCAGTAAGCTGACAGTAGTTACCTGACAGTGATCGCGTGTGGCTCTGAAGTAGTCGCAACTTTCTGTCTCTTACCAGGCCGAAGCAGAAAAAAGGCTGGGATGCTTGTGATGGAAGGACACCTGAGAACAAGGGGAGAAGCGAAGCATATTGCTGCGTAACTACAAGATGGTTAGGTCGCATTAGTAATACAGCTCATAGGCATTGTTTGAAACTTAAAAAGCTGCTCTAAGTTACCTTCAAAATATTTTTCTGCTTATTATATTTTTCAACATCATTTTAATGTGTTTTAGACAATATTTTTACTACCAGTGAAAGTATGCATCGCTGCTAAATAGGAGTGTTACTTTCATGGGTTATTAGCCAAGTTTGTAGTTAACAGTGGGTCATCTACTGTTCTCAAACTAAAAATGGTTCTTCTGCTGAAGAAACTTTTCTCTCCTTTCTGTTTACCCTTTTTGTATATTACACCTGGACTATCTTTATATTGTTGTTTAGAATTAATGGTATTTTATTAACAATAAAATTAAAATGATTGATAAATACAATTAACAGTATGTTAAAAGGCTAGTTATAATGTTACGTATTTCTGTGAAAAGCCAGCAAGTTATAAAACTGCAATAAATAGGAAAAAATAATCTTTGGATCAAGTAATTGGGTAATTCCAGTTTCAACTGATAGTGACATAAGTCAAACATTTAAAAAGTTGTACAGAATTACAGCTAGCTACATCGAAGCTAGCAAGCTTCATTGGTCCTGGGCACCACATCTCCCACAATTCCTCAGTTTCTTCTAGCATTGCCCTTACTGACGTATATTTTAAGTGTTGCACTGTATATTCTTACCTTCCGTTCTTAAGTGTTAGTTTATCCAAAGAATAGCACTGTATTTGTTATTTCATCCCCACGCTGAACAGCAGCAGAGGATTGAAAGTTAATCCATCCACTGTTTGCATTGATTCTATTCACCATCTTGCAGCAATTTAGTAGTAGTCTCTACAAACAATTTTACAGACCGTATTTTCTTTATTATTTTCACACTTCACGGAGATCATCTCAATGAAGCTACAAGATCGAGAGCGCCTTTTTCAAGTTTTTAACATTGAACGACTTCCTAAAAGGATAGCATTTAAGACTTTTGCAGAGAAATTTTTGTCTTGTGAGCGTACGTGCCATTTTGTTGCTGTCTCGTCAGGCATGCTTTCTAGCTATCAGTGTATATTTTTTTTTTTTTCCTAAGTTTTTCCTTTTAGTAGTATTTTGAGTAGAATTCTCAGATGCTTCCTGGTGTCAAGCATTATTAAAATGTCTGGCTCTACATTTTTCTCAACCAGTTCTATTTGCTTTGTTATTAGCATTTAGTAACTTTTTTCTTCTTACTGTCAAGAAAGCATTAAAATCATTTGTTTGCTAAACATCAAAGTACGTAGTTACATTTCCATCTGTGGTTCTCCAATTTAGTAATTTTGAATAACAGTGAACTTAATTGTCATTCTTTAGAGGGCCAGAACCATAACTAGTGTAGAATGACAATCATGTTACGCTGGTTAGGACCTGGTCCAAAACCTCGATAGGAATATCTTGTGGAAACAAGATGGAAAGCCTTAGTTAAGATCATCCTTTTGAAGACTCTGTGTTGATAAAGAAGCGATACGATCTGATGCATAATAATAGTAATCTCTTCCCTTCCCAACTGTCCCTGGGAAAAAAAAAAGAGCTTTAGGAAACGTATTCATTTCCTGCAATAAGTAGTCATTTAATTAAACAACAAAAGTAACAGGAATCAAAAATGCTTGCAGCTGTGATTCTGTTAGACATTATATAAAAAAGAATGAAATTATAATACATTAAATTAGTTTTTAGAACATGAACTTAAGTGTTTTACAAACTAATTGTGGTAAGTTCAAAATGTCTGGTCAACATAATACTGAATGACAGTGTGTCATGTCCATTTATGTCAGAGGCCTTGGAATGGTAAAGCCTGTACATGCACAACATCTCCTTTTCCAAGATAGACTGCAAAACAGTTTAAAACAAGTGTTAAAGGAGAGTAGTAGGTTCTTTCAAGTAGCTTTACTTCAGTCTTTTTCAGCAGATCGTCCCACTCCACAGGCCATCGCTCTTCTGACTTCAGAGCGAAGTACATCTCTGGTGTTTCGTGCTGTACGTAAGTGCTGCAGAGACTTCATCTGCAGAGTCCTTCTTTCACATAAACATCAAGGTATCCTGGAC